TCTTTCAAACTTGCCGTCCCTTCACTATGGCAACTCCACCTCCATATCTCCTCCTCCTTGCCATGCGCGCTCTAGCCTGTGGTTCCTCAAGAATGCAAAACCTCTTTCGGCCCATCCGTGCCCGGCTGCTCACGCCTCACATCCCAAGCACTTTGAGAGACCAAGCGCGCGGCAGATCACGACGGTTCAGGAGATCGAGACCCACGGTGACAACCAGTTCCTTTACTACATCAACAACAACAACATAACAAAAAGTTACGCATGGGCACCGGTCGGTGGGTGCTGTGCTCCAGCGTGACTTGGGAAGGCCTGAGGCAGGACACATGGCTGAACTCTACAGCGAGCAGGAGGAGCTTCATATATAGGAGACAGTGACAGACCGAGACTTCGCCGACACTTCACCGCCACTCCACCTGGGAGAGATGCAGACCGCGCACGACTACCACTACTCACACAACACAGAAAAAAGGCAAATCTCTCCGCGCGCCACGATCCACGGCTGCGCACGATCTCGTTATCCCGCACTTCTGGGAGGCCAAGGCCGCGCGCGACTCACGAGGTCAGAGATCGACCGCCCCCCCCAACACCACGGACTCCTGGTTAAACACACTCGAAGAGAACTACTGATCTCTACTCGAAATACAAAACACAATTAGCACGGGCGCAGACGGGCAGGCCGCCTGGAGTCCCCAGCATATTCGGAGTTGAGTAGCAGAATGCGCGTGAACCCAGGGGGCAGAAACGCTTGCAGTGAGCCGAGATTGCGCCACTGGCACTCCAGCCTGAGCCGACAGAGCCAGACTGTGTCTCAAAAAAAACAAACAAAACAAACAAAAAAAACCCTGACCTAAAATCTAAGCCGTCTTATTTTCTTTCTGCAATTACCGCTTGCCCCCAATACAAACTCGACCTAGTTCCAAGTGGCCAGAGAATCGCACTATTCGATTTGTCTAATCCTCACAAAGAGCGTAGATAATTTTTGTTGGAAAAATGGGCAATGGCCAGGCCGCAGTGGCTACAAGCCGGTCTCCCGCCAGCACCTTTGGGAGGACGAGACGGGCGGATCACAGGTCAAGGAGAATCAAGACCATCCTGGCTAACCCGGTGAAACCCCATCTCTACTAAAAAATACAAAAAACTACCGGCGACCGGTGGCGGGTGCCTGTAGTCCCAGCTACTCGGGAGGCTGGGCAGGAGAACTGCGAAACCCAGGAAGGCGGAGCTTGCAATGAGGCCGAGATCACCGCCCCTCGCGGCCACTCCCAGCCTGGGTGGACAGACGTGATGAACTCTACTCTCAAACAAACAAAAAAAAAAAGAACGAGGCTTGAGCCACCGCGCCCGGCCACAAAGTACATTCTTAAGGGTAGGTGGATTTACAAAGAACTTTCTTAATTAAGGGTGGGGTAGATGACAAAGTACAGGGATGAGTTAGGGTGGGGCAGCAACAAATCACAATGGTGGAATGTCATCAGTTAAGGCTATTTTCACTTCTTTTGTGGATTTTCGGTTACTTCAGGCCATCTGGATGGATACGTGCAGGTCCCTGGGGATATGATGGCTTAGCTTGGGCTCAGAGGCCTGACAGGGACAACTCTAGAGTGAGGAGACACGTAATCATTTTTCCTTGCAGTATTACAACTGGAAATGGTGCTGGGATATTATCTCTGCACCCCTCACAGGCAGCTAACAACATCACAAATCGGCCAGAACCATCACTCTGGGTGGGGCCCCAAGGGTGCCAGTTCCCCAGGGCCCAGTGCCCTCCAGCATGAGGTCCCCAGCAGGTGAAGCTCCTAGCAGGTGAGATTCAGTGTGGCAGGGTATCTGGGAGCAGGTCCCAGCAGGTAAAGTTCCCAACAGCTGAGGTCCTCAGTAGGTGCAGCCTCCAGCGGCCAAGGTCCCCAGCAGGTGAGGTCCCCAGCAGGCAAGGCTTCTGCAGGGGAGGCTCCTGACAGCCGTGAAGTCCAGCATGTGAGTTCCCAGGGAAGTGAGAGGGCTGGCCATGAAGGACTCCAGCAGGTGAAGACCCAGGCAGATGAGGTTCCCGGGAACCGAGGCCCCACACTGGCCTCTCAGGTGAACCAAGCCGCTATGCTGCGCACCGTCTGGTACCTGGATTCCTCCTGCAGTTTCCAGCAGGCCTTGCAGAAATCCAGTGCCCAGCTGAAGGAGCGAGGCCGCAGCGTCTCCCGCCAGCGGAAGTAGCTCAGGTAGCGGGCGTGGTCCTTGTCCAGCTCCTGCAGGTATCGGGCCAGGTCCTCGGGGCTCTGGAAGTCGTCCACGTGGATGAAGGCGTCGGGCGGCAGAAACCTCTCATAGTTGCTTCTGCTGGGCCCCAGCACCACGGGCACGGCCCAGGTCTCCAGGGCGTTCCTCCACAGCTTCTCGGTGATGTAGTCGGGGTGCAAGGAGTTCTCGAAGACCAGGTAGAACTTGTACCGGGACAGTGTTTCCATCATGGTCCCCTTGGACAGGGGCTTGTGGGATTTCCCATACACATCCACCTTGAGATGGGCCTGCAGGCTCTGGTAGTAGCGCACCCTGGCCAAGTCCGGCTTCCAGTTGGACACCGCCCAGGCCACCAATTCGGTCTTGGCCGAGAGGTTGAGCGGTGGGTGGGCAGGCTGGCCGGACCACGGCTCCAGCCAGCCGTAGGGCGTGAAGATGTCGGAGTCGCTGCGGTAGGACATGGTGAGATTGAAGTATCCGTCCAGGGCTTCCAGGTGCCAGCAGTTAGAAGGTGGCTCTAAGTTGAACCAGATCCAGCGCTGCCCCTGTGGCCTCGGGGAAGGTGGGAGATATGACTTAGGATCGTACATGATATCCCAGTGGTGCACAATGACCGCATCTGCCTTTGGGTACACCTTGCGGTCGGCAGTGATTTGGCAGTCGGCCGTGCCAGGCACCATCTCTGAACAGCGGGACAGAGCCTCGGGGATGTAGAAAGGCCACGTCCACAGCAGGATCAGGATGGGAGTGGTGTCCTGTTGGGAGAACCCATTGGGAGCCCCAGTGACAGGTGCCACTGCCATGAACCCTGGCCTAGGGAACCCAGTGGCATCGTCTTGGGACACACGTAGGTAGGAGAAGAAACACACAGCCACCAGCAGCTGAAACAGCAGCGTGGCCAGACAGCGGCGCCACGGCCATTGTGGTTTGGCCGGGCCCAGGGGATCCATGGGTCAGAGTAGCTGGGAAGAGAGGAGAGAGGAGAGAGGAGTGAGGGTCATTGATGACAGTCACCTGCTTACCAAAGCTCCCGGCCATGAGTCCTGAGAGGAGCTGCTATTATTCCTGTT